GGAATCGAGATACCCGAAGTGCATGTGGCCTATGAAGAATGCTTCAAAAGGATGGCCAAGAACCTGGCCGCGGCGCAGTAAGCAGGTGACATGGCAGCTCAATTATTATCACTTTTCGTACAAACTTCGCACGCACCGTGCGGGAGAATTGCGAACCTGACTGCCGCTGATAGCTGTCCGCAAACTCGAAGATATCTACACTCCCAACCCGTCTGGTGCTGGAGCCGGAAGTCCTCGAATGTGTCCGGCGGTCGAAGCCGTGCGCGGGTAATGTCTCTATGCCTGCAGTTGTTTCAGTGGTGGTGACGTTTAGCGCTCGACCAACCGTGCGCGGAAACTCCGCAAATGTGCCTGACACGACTGCCCTGTATCTTAAGGATCCCGCCGTCTCGTGCTGTGGCTTTACTCGGGCGGCTAATCACCTTGACCTTGCAACCCAATCGTCCTCAGGTTGGCGCTGTCCAGGATCAGGCGCCCGTCAAGGCGAACGCGGGCTTGTTCATGCACTTATGCCGACGGAACTGCGTAGCAGTGAAGTCGCTGTTGGCGGGTACTAGACGGTCACTGCGGGCCTGAAGCTCTTAAACAACTTTGGCGGAGCTCATGCACATTGGGCCCGCGACAGGATTCGCTGCGCGGCCAGCTCGTCAGCTCCTCGCGGGTGTCTGACTCCTGGGACACTTCCCTGACTCTCCAGGATTTGTTCATCTCCCTGATGGGAAGCGCCATTTCACGGAACAGCGAATCGAAAGAAGCTGGGGGGAGATGTCTCTATTTCGCAGCGACGGCATCAATGTTCGCCGCATGGGAGCCCTCGCGGTGACGCAAAAGATCGTCCAACGCGTGCCCGGAACTTAATCGAGCACTGCATCGTACGGCGCGGTTGAAAATAGCCGAGTCCATCCATCCAACCCATCCAGCTTCTTTCTCATCTAGGCAACTCCGGCATCGTTCCGTCGGCATGTTGGGAGAGGCCGTGGGTGGGGGCCTTGACCAACTCTGTCATATGCAATGACGGTACTGGTCGGGCCGCCTCTCGGGCCCGTGAGCGACGCGCCGCGGTAGCGGCAGACGGGGGACGTACCGACGTAGCCGGCGCCGATGCAGCAAATCTTGAATTCAACGTGGTCGCCGTGACGGCTGGATCCGCGGTTGCCATTTCGGGCGGGGAGAACAGGAAGCCGCGCTGGCGGGCCATACGATTTATCGTACGGGCGTGCCGCACCCCAGCGCCCACACGTCCTATCGCGCGCGTTGAAACAAACAGCTTCCGAGTGACGGCAGCCCGGAACGGCTCTCCTGGCACATCTTCATCTGCTGTGATTGGATCCCGAGAGATTTTTGTGGGAGAGCTGCAAGCGAGATTCGAGACGCGCCGGTTCCCTTCTCCAACCTGTGTCCGGGCCTAGATGGTGGCGGCGGTGTTCAAATGGTGGCCAGCTCGGTCGTGGTTGGCTGTTGCTGGATGTCTGGTAACGGTCTACATACTGCAACTACTCTCTGCGGGGCCCCACGTTCCCGTCTGCCCTTTGCCCGGATCCTTGCCGGCTCTCCGCGTCGTGCCGGCGAGGATCACCTCGCAGGCCGGCCAAGACGGTGCCATAAGGTCCATTTTTGAGGCTATTGGCACCAGCCTTGAGCCTTTCTACGTGGAGTTTGGTTTCAACGCTCTATCTTTCGAAGGGGGCAGCGGTGCCAACACCTACCAGCTTCATCTACGAGGCTGGCGGGGACTTCTCATGGATGGAGGCAACGAAAACGCTACAATCAATTTGCGGAAACACATGCTGTCGCCCGAGAACGTGTGCGGACTGTTCCGGACCTACCGCGTGCCTCAGGACCTCGATTATCTGTCGGTGGACGTCGACGGCCTCGATCTCTGGATCCTGCGCGCCTTGTTCCGGTGCGGATACCGTCCCCGCCTCGTCACCATCGAGTACAACTCCAACCTCCCCGCCTCGTCGTGCCTCACGGTGGCACCAGATGCGAAAGGCGCCGGGGTCCACATGCGCAACGGAACGAACCACTACACCAAGGTGTATGGCGCCGGTCTCGCCTCGGTGAACATGCTGGCAACCTCGTACGGGTACGGCCTCGCGTACGTGCAGAACATGCTGGACGCCTTTCTAGTGCGGTGCGATCTGCTCGAGGCGGCCGGAGCCTCGCCCTTGCCGCTCCAAGATCTGGGGCAGCACGGATGCATCGGTCAGCACCACGCGATCGCGCCATCCGAGGCCGGGAGCCTCGTTGATTTTTGCGAGTGGGAGGAGCAGGGTGCCGAGGCCGGCGGCAGGGCTGGGTTGGAACGCGCGCGCGAAAAGGCGGTGCGGGAAGCGACGAGCCAGGGCCAAGCAGGCAGCCCTTGCAACGTCACGATCGTGGATCCGATGGCCGAGCCGGGATAGGGATTAATGCATGACGGATCTAATACGCGCTAGCCGGTACAATAAATTAGGCCGCGTCGGCGGCCGACGGAACTTGGTATCCTTTCTCCTTGAAGGCGGTATAGATGGCTGCGTTGCCCTTCATGCATGCCACGGAAAGGCGCTGGCGTGCGCGGCAGGTGAAGAGTGCGCGCAAGCCATCGACACTAAAACCTGGAACGGGCGATGCTTCGGCAACCGTCTGTCTGTCCGTCAGCACTCCGGGACATGAGCACCTCGGACACCATTACGTCAACAGGAGTCGTTTGTGATCGACAGGTCCACGAGGAGGCGCTCGTTGGTGAGGGAATGGTTGATCAGGAGGTCGGCCCGGTTCTGCTCGGCCGAGGAAGGGGTGCCAGCGGTGCCAGATGCGCGTGGGGTTGCAAATGGTGCGTTCTGGGCGCGCGGGATACCTTCCAGGGCGAGGTTGGGCTCGATCTTGGCGGAGAGCGCGGCGCGGGGCGGTTCCTCGACCAGGGCCTTGAGTGCATCGCGACAGCGGTTGTGGCGCCCGTAGCCACTGCCGATGCGGAGCCATTCCCCGGAGGAGCAAGAGAGCGCGTGGGCGACGACGTGGGAGCCCAGCGTGAGGTTGCACTTGCAGCACGTGGCGGCGGCCGATGCGGGGCAGCCCGAAGCAATGAGCGGCGGCGATGAAGAGCTCCGGGTCTTGCATGTGGTGGGCGCGGAACGCGGGGGAGGCGCGGGCCCAAGCCATGGCGTGACCGGAGGCGCATGAGTGGAGCGCTCCTGGTACTGTAGGTCGTCTGCTATATAGGGATTAGATTCATTCCGCGCATAATGCGAAACCGCGTGCTCCGGCAGAGGTACGCCGCGCGGAATAGAGCTGGTTTCCGCCGCGCCCTTGGCGCCCATGTCAACGGCGGGATCGGCCAAAGGCGACCTGTGCAAAGAGTTCAATCCGTCGCCTACCGCGGCGGCGGCGGTTGGAATCATTATTACTCCAGAGTAGGTATAGAGATTCAGGTTCGGTCCCTCGGAGTCAAGCCAGAATCTAGCGCCCCTGCACGAGTAGGCACTGTCGAGAAACCGTAGATCCACAGGCCCGACCTTTGACTTCAAGTTCGTCTCGCCGTCGAGGTTCTTTGTCTCCACGTAAGCCAGGTTATCCGGATCCGACGTGCTCAGAACCACCACATCGGCCGGGATCAGGTCGTTTTTCCTCAAAAAGACGAAATCCCCGACACGGAGGTCGGACCAAGTCACGACCGGCCATTCCTCTTCGTACGCTTCAGGTTTCGAAAAGGAACTAGGCGCATCCGCCACGGCGTACCCATGGTTCTCCCGTAGCAGCTCATCTTGGCGGGCAAGGACTTTGGCTCTGCGGCGCTGCATGTGGGGCCTCAGGCACGACTCGCAGCAAGGCAGCACCGCCAGCAGGTTGTCGATGGTCTTCCAGAACAAGGTACCATCAAAGCACGGCCGACGGTCGTCCAGCTCCTCGGCGAGGTAGTTCACGTTGTGATGCCGGGCCAGACGTCGCGTCAAGCTGTTGTTGAGCTCCTTGTCCGACTTGTGGCGCTTGTAGTCCTCCCATCCGTCCTTCAAGGCCGTCAGCGTGAGCACGATGACCAGGGGCACGAAGGGCATGAACGCGTTGGTGACCTGGAAGACCGGGAACACCTGGGACACCGCCATGGCCAGGAAGAACACTGGGCGGCGCGTCAAATCGTCGGCTTTCCGACGGAGAACCGCGACACTTACCGTTCGCAATGCGATGGAACTGTTCCCAGAGGTTCTTGGGTAGGAAGGTGATGATTGAATATCTGCCAGGAGTTTCCAGATGCACGTCATTCAGTAGCGGTCCAGGCACTCACTTGGCTGTGGAGACCTCGTTGCTCGGGAATTGCACGGAGGGGAAGCCAGCAGCATCCAAAAACGAGTCAGGCTGAGGGAGATTGACAAAGATCCGACGCCGAGCTGGCACAGTCACCGGCTGAAGCGAAGACACCGTCGCATGAAGCCCCGAGGACCCCTTAGTCCCGTTCGCAGCGGTCCCATCCCCAAACGTCCCGGACCACCATGAACGCAGTTTGTCAGACATGTCCAACGTCAGCTCCCATTTCGTGCGGGTGAGGTAGGCTGGGAGACGCCGGGGTCCCAGAGGGAGATTCTCCGTGGAAAAGCGGCCCAGAGATTCTCCGCGGAAAAGCGGCCCAAGCAACGGGATCCCACGCTCTAGATCGTTTTTACGCCGAGGCGGGGCGCAGGCTGGAGAAGATGGGACAGCACCGCGGCCGAAAGGCGCACCTCGATCATCACGTCACATCATCCCCTTAGTCCCAGTGCCCTGCCTCTAAAACTCCCCAACCCCCAAGGAGCTCGAGGGAGCAAAGAAAAAAGCAGTCGAGGCTGGGTTCATTTAGGCGTGAGAAACACACGGCAGAGTAAAATCTTCACGCATCACGGTGGCACTGGGGCTGCCGACCAGTTTGAGGACAATGGACCCGCTCCGACTCCGAAAAACGCTAAACGGAGCCCAACACGTCGAGTCAGCGTCGAGTAGATCAGTTTGCCTCTGAAGACATGGCTCGGGAACAACGCGAAAAGAGTTCCGACCTCCGTGATTTGAACACGGGACCCCGGCGTACCACAAGCCTTTACAGCGCCATGCGCTAAACCAACTGCGCCAAGGTCGGAATGCTTCAACCGGAGGAATCAGGCACTGAAGAATGATTCTTAGGCCCTGGCCAACACTCTGTCTTTTCCATTTCTCGGCTCCTTTTGCGAAGGAACACTCCATCGACCCCTCCGCGAGGCGGACGACAAGGCAAAAAAGGGAGCTTCGAGGCCGCGCGGGGAAGGAGTCTGGCTTTCAGGAATCATTGCTTCGCAGAACGCCACACTGCAAACGACCCATGTTCCAGCATACCCGGCACCCCGGCTAAAACATCAGCGACGCAGCGAGGTCTACGTTCCCCCCTGCGGCTCTGCGTAGCTGCAGCATAAGTGCCAGTGACAGCATCCCAGGCGCGAAACCCACTCCAAGGCCCTGATTGCCTCTTCCCGCGACGCTCCAAGAGCCATGAGCGTGGAAACGTGCTCCTCGTTCACGCTGCCGCGAGATGGGGCGATCCGCGAGGCCGGCACCGGTAGCGTGATGCTGGGCTGGGGCTGCTGCGGTGCCTGTACCGCAGGCGAGGCTGCAGCGGTCGCGGCTGCAGGTGTCGGGCCACCGGCCGCTGCGAGAGAACCCGGGGTGACCGCCCCTTCCGCCGCCGGATCGGCTTCGTCGGCCCCTTCCCAGCGCGCCTTTTCGGGTAGCTCATGCTCCGAAAGGAAAGGCACCGCTTGATCGTACATCCGGAGACAGTTCTCTCCCAAGTCAATCACGGCCTGAAGCACGTTGAGGCAGCAGGTCAGGTGAGTTGGTCAGAAGTTTGGCGGGCAGAACAACCTGGTGCCGCCTGAGCATGTCGAGGCCAAAGAGCAGATCCACCCCCTTGCCCTCCATGACCGTGAACGAACAGCTAAAGTACTTGTCCCCGACCTTCATAGGCGCAGAGTGCACGCGCCCGAGGATTTTGGCGGTCCCTACGCCGCGCGCAATGCCAGCGAAGCGCGAGTCCAAAAGTCGCATGATTCTTTTGACGGTTCCGATTAATCTCCAGCGCACGCGCGTCTGCTTAGCACTCGATGACGTACCCGCATGCTTCCGCACATTCAGGGCTCACTGGGCGATTGGCGGAAGCAAAAGGCCGGAACCGGCGGACCAGAAAGTAAGCCGGAGACGATCGCTAGATGACAAGCTGACTCAACTGATTGTTGCCTGCGCACCTAGAATGCACGGCTTCGTTACGTTGCGCCACTTTCTCGCCATCGACGGAATTTACCAGAGTCGACAAAGGCCTTCACGCTGTGGCCGTTGACTTGACAGTCAATGTACAGCATAGTCACCCGGCCGAAAGCCTCAGGGTTGTGCTCCATCGCAAGCTTCACAAATGGCAAACGAAGAGGACACCGCATGCAAGTGAGCGTCGGACGGCTGCAAGCCGCCACGCCGTCCCACCTCCATGTTTTCCTGTACCTGCTCCTGCCGTATCATCTCTTCGATCTTGCGCTGCGCTTCCATGTCGAAGGGATCCGCGTTGTCGAGCCGCGCCTGCCCGTGTGCGACGAATCAGGAGGCAGATATCCGCGCGTTGGAAACGCGTACCCACCAGTTCGGTGGCCCTCCGCTCCTCGGCCTCCCGACGAGCCCGTTCCAGCTCCCGAAACATCCTTCGGAACTCAGTGGGGTTGTTAAGGGCCGCGTCCGCCACAGCCGGCTGAGCCCTTGCGAGCCGCTCCAGGGCTCCGGCATCCGCGAGCAGCTGAAGTCTCGCAAGCTCCGCGGTGTCCGCCACCGCAGCCGGTCTCGTTGGGCCGATGCGAACGAGTAGAATATCGTCTTCCACGACGCCCAGCTCCAGCAATGTCCTGGCGTCGCCGTCGAGCACCGCGCCATTGTGCAAGAGCACAACGGAGCTCGCGTTGGCAGCCGAGAGTTCCGCAGCGACGAGCGCTCGCAGGGACGCAAGATCCAAGGACGGAGGCAACGACAGGCTGTGGAGCTCGCCGGCTTCCGTTGTTATCGACAGCCTCATTGCGTCTCTCGTCGGAGACGGGGGGAGAAGACGGAGAAGACTGGGGAAGAATGTATGGTAGAGTAGTAGAAGCTATTGATATCTCTTGTGCTGCCTGTCAAGCCAACCCCCCCCCTTATCCAGCTCCTTCAATGTCCGATTAGACTTCTTCTTCGGCTCTGGAGCTTCAAAGAGCTCAATGCGGATTCACGTGCCGGGAATCGTGGCCTACCGTTGAAGTTCTCCTTGAGGTAGAACCGCCGCAGAAGCATGATCGCCTCATTCTTGCCGTGGCCGCCATATGCCTTTAGAATAGGATCTGGAGAGCTGGGCCTGGATCACATCCACTTAGCGATGCAACCTTGCCATCCCTCGCCGGCCTTACTCCGCATGCACTCTCGTCACACCCCCACAACCGCCGAACTTTTCGTTCCAACAGCCAAAAAACACGTTTCGAAACCGCAGCTGTCTCAAGGCAGAGGCACACATGATGCACGGCTCCACCGTTACGTAGAGCTCGCAATCGGTGAAGTCCCGCGGCTCCAGAGAATTGATTGCCACGAACTCGGCGTGGGCCGTCCCCTGCAGCAACGACTCGGCTTGCGGGAGAGCTTCTGACGATGACCATTCTTACATTCAGCGTCTCGTTTGTCGCGTTCCTCCCGCTGGCAATGATGTTGCCCGAGGAATCGACAACGACGCAGCCAACGGGCACCTCGTCCACCTCCAGAGCCGACTCCGCCTGCCGGCCATCTCAGGACCCTCCCAACACGTGCGTTGCTTAAACATGCCTGCAACAGGGCTGCGTCCATATGGCTGGAGTCGCACATGCTGGAGTCGCACATCGCTGTCGGTCTGTCGGTGATGTCCTACTACTGTCACTCGCCCCATCGAGCTCACAACCAAACGAAGAAGACCGAGATGGATTCCGCCGCAAAGCTCCTTGGCGATCTTCTTCCCGCCATGGCGGCTCCTACCACAGTGCGCTTCCGCGCGGCTGCGTCTCCCGCCGCGGCCTGCGATCCTCCCGTGTCGCGGGACACGGGTCCCTGGACTCGGAGGAGGTGGCTGTTCCTATACTCCACCGCCGACGGGACTGCCCCCGTGGACGTCGTCGACGGCTCGAAGCAAGAGGGAGCGAACATGGCGGGGCAGTCCCGGGACGAGATTCTGGTAGCGGGCATGGTTGTCGCAGAGTACAGCTCCCCCGACACCTGCATCCTGCACGTGGAAAAGGTCGATTCCACCGGCATCCGCCCACCGTCTTCACGGCCGTCGATGACTCGGGCATGCGTGGCCGCGTCCTTGAAGCTCTTGCTCGCGCTGTCTCGGAAGAAGCACACAAGCATCCATTGCTTCGCGAGGCCGCAGCCCGAGTACATCTTCCCTCTCTCGTCGAAGCGCAATTCCAAGCAAGTGCTGCAGCCGGCCCAGCTGACGCGATGGTGGCTCCTCACTTTGGACCTGGCCGTTCGCGATTGCGTTGGGGCGAGCAAAACGGCGTATGTCCCCGGAGAAGACGGTGCATCCGCGTCAAAGGCGCTTCGTACTGCGGCCGAACTGGGTTGGACGATTGGGTACCCATATGACCCCTTTGCGAATGCCGCGGATGTCATTCATGCGTTTGCGGACGATCCCAAAGGACGCCTTTTGAAGGAGCTTGGGAAGCACACTACCGTCCAGGAGCTCTGGGAAGTCGGTGGATTGGCACAGGATGCCGGAGGAGGTGGTTTTCTTTGGGTGCTCTTGGATGAGCCAGCTTCCGCGGCCAATGACACTGAATCCCGTAACTCATTGACCGACGAAGAGTGGAGCACGCTCACGACGGCACTGGCCGTCAGCGATTGGTCATCGCAGCAGCTCAGTGTCACGTCATCGAGCAATGTATTGGCGACATGGCCAAGAGGATCTGTTGTTGTTGACGTTGCAGTCGCCGGGAACGGTGATGCAAACGCGGGCGAGATGCCGGTCGCACGGGCTGCCGAGGCTGCAACTCTGAATTCCGCCCTAGTAAAGCGCAAGCCGAGAGCGGATTCCCATGCGGCCAACGCGAAGAAGCCAAAGACTTGATGTAAACGGGTCACATCGCTTCGATCTGCTGAAGAATTGACATCTTTTCCTCTACGAGACGCTCGTCGTCTGGGCGTTCAAGTTACGGAGGCACCTCCCCGGTCGTCTGACGGAACGCACCTGATCGATCAGCGAATGACCCCAAGAACAACACGAGCCTTTCTTTGTTCTTCCGGAGAATGTCCGCGATCGCGGGGCTTTTGTCCGGCGTCGCAACAAAGATCTAACGGCCTGTAGCGTCAACGAGATGGTCTCTTTTTCACTGGAAGAAGGCATGCCTTGAAAATGCCAAACGCTTCCGTTGCGATCCCGCGGCTCTTGTCACGTAGCAGTGTCATGATTCGCTTCAGGTGGTCGGCATCCGAAGTCCAACGCTCCAAAACCGGATGATTCGTGCGTTCGAGCAGAATTTCGGACAAGAGCCGCAGCGACAGCAATCGACTCAGGTACGAAGGAGACTCCAGCAGCTTGCCAAGGCCAGCAAAGAACTATCATCCAGCCACATTAGCGCGAGGGTGCACGTCTTTTGAGGGACTCACGTCCGCGAAGTTGGCATTCAAGAACTCGAACGCGATTTGCTTGTGGCAAATCAGCAGCTCCTGGACGACTTTCAGGACACGAAGATTCGGTAATGAAACTTGAGCTTACTCGAAACGTTGCCCATGCGTCGCTCGCAAGATCAAACGCCGGAGCATCGAGCCAACGAAAGAAGCACCAAATGGATTGCGACGTCAGGATCAGTTTGGTCAACGCTTCGTGTTTTGCAACCTCGCGCAAGATGGCCCCGCAGTGCAATGCGATATCTGGATTATCGTATCTGGACAAAAAACGCATGAGATTGTGTGCAGCAGCCTTCAGGCACGAACACAACCCGCAGACGAGGAGGGCGAGGGTATCCTCCTTCGACACAAGGTACTCCACGGTTGGGAACCTTGTGCCAATTTGTCTTCGAAGCAAGCTGCCGAGTATTTGAACAACATCCTTGCGAGACTGCAGCGGGACAT